GGAACTGATGTGTCATGTATCTGCATTTACTATAAAAGGTATTGCAGTACGGATTGTTTTCGTTAAAATATTTAATTCATTTTGTTAGGCAAAAGCATGTTATTTGTTGTTCTTGAGTAGTGTGCTTATTACTTTTAAGAAAACAGTTTTGGGTGGTTTTGGTGAGCAGCATTTTTGCTGTTATGAGCCACTAATTTTTTCTTATGTTTAAAACAATTGTTTTCAGAAAGGTAATAAAATCATATGATGGGAACCCTTTCATAACTCATGAATATGGAGATTTCTCTTTGCCCCAGAACTTGCCTTCAGTTAGATCGTATAGGGACTATGTGGATGTATTGCTTTTGTGGAAATTATGGAAATGTAGCATTGATGCTTCTTTTAGTAGTACTTTTGCTGAATCTGGTTAATTTTAAGGTTCTCACCGAGGTCCTGAGTTCACACCAGGAAACCACAAAAGAATTTTGTCATGGGTTTTTAGGTCATTTCTTTTACTTATAATTCCATCAATAGAATTTATCGTGTTATGGTAAATTTTATATTGATTGTTTGATTGAGAATGCAAATTGTGTAGCAAAATACTGAAATTTGAATAATTAATATGATATGCCTTATTTATTGTATTTTTATAATTTTATAGTTCTTTTATTTAAAAAATTTTCTTCATGTATGATGTACTATACTGTGATACTGAGTTGCTTAGAGATACTGTATAATTTTCTTGCATTTACAATTGTGCAAATTATCTGTTAATAAATAAATAAATTACTTTTTTGTCAAAATTATTGAAAGAATTGAGAAAAATAAATGTATGTAAACTGCAAGTTCACATGCTACTACTCCAGGTTTAATTAACTTCTCTGTAATGGTTGTAGGAAAATCTTTGTGTTAACTTATTTGCAACTCCAATAGAAACATTAATTGCTGTAACCTTTCTTGCAGGCTCATGTGGAAATTACACCAATGGATCTCATCCACGTGTGCGACGTAGTAATAGTCTGACTCCACCAGTTAGCATTAATCAGTCATCGGATTTGTGGAGTTCACAGGTAAGACAATTTCAGTTTGAAAACCAAAGTAAATGTAAATGTGGAGGAGCTTACAGCCTGCTAATTGGAGAAAGACAAATACTACTCCTGTTTGTCAGTAGAAAGTTTTGATAATTAATCCATGTATCTGAGCAAATAAATAATCTAAGGCAATGAAATCTACCCAGAAACATGCAAATCATAAATTTTGATACAATTGTGAGTATCTGTCTTAGTATTGGTCTTTGGCTACATAAACTTGTGATATTCATAACAGTTGCTTAAAATTATAATACTACAATTTCTGTCCATATTAACACATCAAAGCTATCATTTGTAAACCTTACCAATCACAGTTCGAAGGTGCAAAAGATTAATTCATTTAAAGCTAATACGCCAACACAAATTCGACAATCCAAACCTGCATTTCATTCACCCAGCAAAACTACCCAATAACAGGATTTCAAACTGCCCTGATGCAGCATTTCCATTGTCGTTTTGCAACCTGCTAACTCTTAAGATTCTAGCAAAATAAGTGTAGGAAATTCCAATTTGCAGTTTCGAAAATTTGAATAAATTGTGCAAAATGCTCACATTTTCAAACAGTGCACATGTCTTTATTGAAAGGTGTAATTTTGACGAAAACCTTTCATTAAGTAAAAAAATCTCTTATCAATGTTGTACTTTTCAATTTTTGAAATACACCATTTTTCTCTGCAGTTTCTTCTATTGCAGAAAAAAGGACAGAAATAACTTGGAGCAAAGTGTAAAGAAAGGTTTTTTTCAAAAATTGCCTGTAGTAGAATTATTAAAAATTGTAGATAACTTTATTCAACAATTCAACTTTTTGTAACATTTTTCATTAAGAAAATAGTCTGTTATTTTTAATATTGTGCGTGTTGAAAGACATCGAAAAAAATCTTGAACTATTGCAATTTTTGAAAATTCCATAAGTATAACAAAAATTAGACTTACCCCATTTTTATAAGTTTTTTTAGAGAAAGTTTTGAAAATATCCATTTTAAATTATGGTGAGAGATATCAACCAGATTAAGAGAGAAATACCAATTCTCGTAAATTGAAAATTCTTACTGCCGAGATAGCCTTTTCAGGTAGTTCGGTTATCATCTAGTTGCCTCTGTGATCCGTATGTCCTTAGCAGAATGATAGGATAGATTAGGGAATGGTTGATGAAGCAATTCGATGGAATGTGTGTTAGCAAGGGAAAAAACTCGCCTTGAACCCACTTTGTCCACAAGAAGTTCCACTTGGAACTGCTTGGGATTGAATCTTGGCGCCAGTGGTGATGCGCTTGCTGTCTGACTGCTACGCCACAGGCCACCCATCAGTACATACTTGTATTTGCGAAAGTGACTTAAATATTGTTTTTTTTCTTTCCAGGATGATCTCTCGGGACGGCAGAAACCACGCAGCTTTTCGCTCTCATCAGAGCATGCTCCTCCTCTGTCTCCCCAGAGCTCCTTGGCCTCGTCCGGCAGCGGCTCAGAGTCTCATTTGGATGAGCTGAGGCAGGGGTTTGTGGGCGACGCCACTGGCATGAAGGGTGAGTGATCCCAGTCAGGGCAATGGATTTCCAAAAAGAGAGAAAAACAGGCAAAACTTAGAAAATGGTAGGGAAATTAAAGGGGGCTAGAAATATGCAGGGAGAACTGAGAAAAATATGGACATGTAAAACAAAAATGTAATTATCTTGATAAAACAATCATCAGAGGCTGTACCTACATAGGAGGAAATGGACATAGATGAAATGCAACAAGCATTAAACGGAGAAAGAGTGGTCTTCCTTTTAAATTTATCTTTGTAACTATTCATGTAATACAGTCAAATACAATTACTATGGGTGGGTGAATGGATGCATGGGTACACATGTGGCTGCACTGTAAACTTGTAAATTCCAATGATGGACATAAGATTACAATGTCTTTTCATGTAATAAATGGTATTGAAATATAGTTTAAAGAAAAACTTAAATTTGAAAATGTTTGCATGTTTATCTATATTATACAGTGAAAATGAACATGGAACAAGTTTTGTGATTATTTCTTTTCCTTATCAATTTAATAAATTGAAAAATAATTTTAGTTTTGCTGCTGTGGAGAATAAATAATACAGCATAGTAATTTGTATTGTTTTGTAGATGTGCCGTCGTGGTTAAAATCCTTGAGGCTCCACAAATATGTATCGCTTTTCGCGCAGCTATCATATGATGAGATGCTGACATTGACTGATGAGAAGCTTGCAGCTCAAGGTGTGACAAAGGGTGCTCGCCACAAAATAATCTTAAGCATTCGGAAGTTGAAGGAGCGTTATCACACTTTGTGTCAGTTGGAGAAGGTGAGCATTTTTCTCTTGCGTAGCGGACTCCTTTCTTGACCTCATCCTCTCAAATACTGAAATTAATACTGAATATAACAATTCGACATTTTCCAATACAAACTCTGACAATTTCTTTCTTGTATCACACGCACACAATTCTTACAATAACTTAAGCAAAGAAGTTATTTTGATACTGACTTCATAAAATAAATTATTATCAGTTCAGAGTTACGAGCAATGTGCAGTGAAACCTCTTTGAACGACCATCAATTCCGTATTTTTCTTGGAAAGAACTCGGATACCCTTACAGTGTATGTAAATTCTATCCCTATTTATAGACCTCTCCTCTCCTTTGCCACTGACCTTGTTCCTTCATAGCACGTATCTTAATTTACACCTTTTAAAAGACCACTTTCCGAAAATGGATGAGATTGTCTTTCCTCAATCATTTAAATATTCAGCTAAAAATCATTTAAATATTATTTCAGTCAATTCTTATTTTCCAGGACGTATCAGAGGGTACCAATCTGTGCGCAGCACTGGAAGAGCTCAAAAACATTTTGCTCTCCCCCATCAAAGCGAGAGATGCCGGACCGGCACAAGCATTGCTTGTGCCGACCTTATCGCCGGCTCTACCCCTTTCCCCTGTGTCAACTTCCCCATCCCCTCTGCCTGCCGGAGGGACATCCACTTCCCCATCCCCTGCTGCTGCCGGTGCCACTGTCACTCCGACTGTTACGCTGACTGTGACGGCTGCCACTAGTCCGTGTGAAACGTCACAAGAGGAGGCGGTGGCAGCAGCTGTAGATGCTACCACTGCATGCCAGGAGAGAGACGAGACTGACAAGGCTTTACAGGTAAGCAAGGACCTTTTGCTAGTTTCTCTTCCTTTTTTTTAAATTTCATTTGTATTATATCCAAAGAGTTAAGCCAATTACAGGGTAGATTTTGTAGATCATTTCGGTATTTTTTATCAACTAGATGCATAATAATAGAACCTTATTCCATGGTAAAGTCATTAGTAAGACAATAAATAGAAAACAAAAGAATTCACTTGGCATTTGTAGATTTAATATTTGTACCTCATGTTTGTAAATGTTAAAAATAGTTCACTGTTACAGAAAAAGACTTCTTTCTTTACAATATTTGAACTTGTTAAGATTCACATACCTATTTACCCGAATACAAGACAGTTTTTTCCTAAACATCTGATTAAAAAATACAGGATATTCGCAGATTAGGCGTAATCAATTAGCATATGTTTTTTATAGTGTCATTTTGTGTTCAGAATTCATAAATGTTGATGAACAGTAAGCTGCAAAAACGATAAAAATATTTTGAGTGTATATAATATGGATTTACATTCGCTGATGTATTCTCTGCATACATCGCTAATTTGCCAGGCAATTAATATTGAAATTTTTGAATGGGGCCAGAAAGGAAAGAATCTAAAACAAATGACATTGCATCAAGTGAAATGTAATGTGATGTGATATATAAATAAATCATAGCTGAGATTTTGTTCCGTGATGTGCACATTGATATGGCTTCATTGTTAGTCACCTGGCAAATGTGAAACTGCATTTTGTAAGGGATTGAATGAAAAAATGCCTGTAAGTAGGAGTATAGAAGCTGCATCAAAACATAGAAAAGAATGTTAAAATAACAGACATACATATGCGACCAAGTATACCCACACGAACTACGAGAAGATTGTTTTATGACTTTATTTTTCAGCAGTCCATCGTCGAAATAATATTAAACTTCTTGATATCCTTCCTCAACTAGAATTCAGCATTCCTTAATGTAGCAAAAGTTTCACAAATCATTCTATATGATAAGTAACTGAACAAATTATTTGTACTTCAACATTTTCAACTGACTACAATGTGTAGCCAATGAAATCTGTGAAAAAGTTGATTTTTTTCATCAGTAACCCTACAAAAACTTGTTAAAAATTGCCTTAAACAGAGAACTGAACTATTCTTTGTTCTCTCCTTGAAAAATTTCTCTTACATTTCACAACAGTGGTGTTCAGTCATTTTATAGTATTGTTTGAACCAAATTTTTTTTTGATAGTTTATTTGCACTTTATCTATTCGACATTTATTGATTTCTTTTATGGTTTTGATCATGAAAGTATATCGTATGATATAATTTGTCATTGACCCTAATGTGTGTAACTAAAGCATTTGAAAGGGATATTCTCGAAAATAAATGAATGAAATGAATTTAAAATTATGGAGGGTCATCTTATATTCTGATAAATGTTATGTCGGTAAATATTTCAATCTGATTGAAAGGTATTTTGATATTGCTGATGTATCTGAAGTATTTGAAATGCAACTAGTGCTATATTTTTTTCTTCATGTACGCAAGGGAGGTGGTTTGTACTTCTAGATAGAAAAAAGGAATTACATCATTATGAGGGAAGAATAGGAACTCCAAATTTGCATTCGATGAGATGCAACCAAAGAGGATGTCACAATATGAGTTGTCATAACATGAGAACAATATGCAAGATGTTTTTTCAAGATTGAAGGAACTACACTTCTCCAAGAAATAATGCGATCACTATATTATACTGTGTTAAGTCAAGTGGCCAAATATTTTGACACTCCTTTTTGCCAAATTACATTGGAGGTGTGGTTGGTTAGTGGCATGTAGGAATGATTTGTGTTCGCTTCACAAAAGTGCATTTTGATATGATTTATACCAATTCCTTTGTATTTGAGCTCGTAGCATATAGGGCTGAAAGTCAGTGACTTAAAACTTGACTTGACATATGACTAAGTTATGACATTCAACTAGTTCAAGGAGACTCTGTGTTCAGTGTCAAAAAGGCTTTTTACACAAGTAACAGAATTTTAAAAACTTCTTACAATATATTATTTAGTGTCTAGAATAAACTAAATAGCTCATGAAAACTCTCTAACCTTCAACTTTACTTGCTGAATTGACATCTCCAAAGCAGATAGCTCGGCTCATCTAGATGGGAGAAGATAGAATTGACACAGAGCAAAGAGAAATAGATTTAGCACACACACTCAACTGTTTCAGAACTGTCAAATAAAATATACCACTGGCCTTGAATCAAAGCATAAGAATAGCACGTAAGTCACTCTAATACACAGTATAAATTAAAATTGTACACTTGTGAATAATCATTCTTCACTTATTATACTTCCTTAATCTTTAATTAACTTATCATGCATGAAATATTTTTTAGAAACGAGTACTTAATGCCATTAAAAGTATAAATTTGTATAAAAGGAAAAATAGATAAGTTGCTAAAGAAAGCATAATAAAAACCCCTAATAAAAAAAGTTCTGCATTGCTAGAGTAGATAAACTCATTGTGCGCTTAATAGTAGGGTACAGTTAATGAGCACTACATGATGGTATGAATTGACATGCTTCCAAATTTTTTAGATCTTGTTTTCTCAGATATGAATAGATTTTTGCTGCAGAACCGAATATAATAACCATTCGCCCCATAGCAGGAACATGCAAATAATCTTTTTCTGAAAGCGTACAATTATTTACCTGGAAATAGGGTGGGTAGTGTCTTCTGGGCGCACTTGGGGGCCTCTTGACTCTGATTGGGCGGGTGATCACTTGGGCTGAATACGTTCTGTTTTTTGATCTCCTCAGATCTGTTTTTCTAATTGCAAACGTCTTGAATTCTGTCATCCAGGCTTCTTTTGACATATTTTATCAAATTCCATGATCTTGGCGTACTTCTTTTAGCTCTCTTAACGCTACCGTTCTACATATTTTCTTTGAGCGCCATCACTGTTCTTAGACAGCGCTGCCTGGACTGTCTAATAAGCCACTAGAATGCTTTGTTTTCTATTGTTTAGTAAATTGACAGATTACCTTCATTTGTTTACCATACATGCTTTTCATTTTTAGACATTTATGAGACTTGTGTTAAATGTAAGCATCTGCGCTTCGTGTAAGTCGGCATTTTCGTGGATTCTTAGTTCTGGACATCTAGGGTGACAATTTGGATGTGTTAAGGTATTAGCACTAAAAACGCTGCCTAAAAAACTAATATAGCACAACTTTTTTAAATAGGCACCGGGAAAACGACGCATGTTAAAAATCTTATCAGGAGCGTAAAAAGCATACTTTACTACTTTCACTACACCTTGCATTTAAAATTAGCCAATAACCTATATAAACTATAGATATGAATAGAATACACATTCTTGATGAAATCAGTTCTTAGTGAGTGCAGCAGAGACTTCGGTATCTTTCACAGAATATAGAGCTCTGTTTCTGTACACACTCTGGCAAACTGGAGGGGAGAAATGAAGATGCACCTCAACATGCCTTTTCCATTACGTCGAGCAAATCTGTGCTCGGCGCGTCATCGTAATGCTCAACTAAGGTGTCCAGAGACCACCGTTGATTGTTCTTATTATTGTTCCACAAAGAAAATGCGACAAAGAAAATGCTATGAAGGCCATAAGGCAAGCTTTTCTGTTCCAGTAAAATTCATTCGTGACACTGCAAACACAAATGAAGATTTCTCAGTTGAAACAGATCAATGAGTTTCGTTGTACGAAAAGTTTATGTTATTATGTAAATGCTTAAAGATGATTTAAATTTTGTGGTTAGAAAGGAAGAAATAATGCAGAAATATTTAGTACAATTTTAAGGGAAGAAAGCATTTGAAAAAAGAAACTTTTAGTATGACTTTTAAGTGAAAATGTCAAGTAGGGCATGTTATATCGTGTACACAAGACCAAAAAAGGCAGAATAAAAACTTTCATCAGTGAGATGTTCCAGTATTCTGGGTAATTCCATATAATAACACACAGACTCTAAATTAACCTTTAAATTCGCCATTCCATCACAATAAGAATTGGCATTCACCTAAAGACATGTCATTCTCGGTTTATTAATGCAGCGACATGGTAGGTAGGCATTCTACTCTCTCATGAGAGCAGTTGTCCAATCAACGAATTGATTAAGTACACAAAGTTTTGCGACAATTTTACAAAGAACGCAAGTTTCTTTCCCTATTTCATTCTTTCTATTAATATTTTTTTTGGCCCGGACAACTTCAAAATATTGAAAGTGTTTCCTTCAGGCACTGGAAAAGTTGTTTTGAGCAAAGCCTTCATTGGTTTTGTAACTGCATCGATCATTATGGGTTTTTCTCCTTTCGGTGGCCGAGATTCTCTAGCTAGCATTAATGCAATCGAGATTCTTCTGTCAGAATAGTGATGCAATTCTCTTTCGCCAGGCGTTCTCTTGGTCATATATACATATCTTCAGAAGTAGTAACTACCGTAGACTCAGTCAGATTTCCCATTCTCTTTATCACATGTAGGGTTTGATGAGTTGGCTTTACGGATTCTAGCCTTACTCAGTAATGTGACATGCGCGTTCACTTATCGAATTAATTTCCTAGCGTCATCTTGGAAATATATCAGTGTGCTTTTCAAGTTTTATAATATCAATGTTGGGTAAATAAAATAAATAAATAAATTTAAAAAGACAATTTAATAAACACATTAGACGCATGCTTTCTCGCTGCTTATTCTACAGAGGCGACCAAAGTGAGATATCTACTTTATTGCTTTTTGTTTGTGTGCTTGAATCCAGGTTGATGCAAGATGCAATGTAAAGATGCATTGCAGCTTGAGAAAGGGAAGGGGAGATCTTCTCCGACGAGTAGGGCGAGCTTGTCAGAGTCAAATTGGTAGGCTGCGACAGAGGGATGAGACATTCTCCTGCCCTCATGTTTCACGAGGGTCATGTGGGCAAAGGTGAGTTGCGACAAGAAAAGAATAATAGTTTTAGAATAAATTATGAAAAAACTATGCTCTTGAGATGGTATTGTTCGAATCCCCAAAGTTTTAAAAACTAGGCAATAAAACTAGTCGAAATTCAGCGGTCCCTGGAATAGTTATTTCTAAGAAGCTGGTAGCTTCTCAAATGAATGTATGTTTTTCCAAATTGTTGCAAATATCCTGAATGCTGGCAAATAACCTGAATGTGCAAATACCTGAAATCGTGCAAATTACCTTGAATTCGTGCAAATTACCTGAATCGTTAGCAAATAATCCGGAATCGTGGCAAACACCGAATCGTGCACACTACCACGTGAAATACCGGTCGTGCATACATCGTAACCGTGGCATATCCGATCTGGCAAATACCTGGAATCGTGCTAAATACTCGGAATCGTGCAAATACCGAATCGTGCAATAACGTGCAATCGGATGGGCAAAATCCGGACATTCTGTGCAATATACCTTGGATCGTGCAAATAACGTGCATAATGAATCGTGGCATAAACACCTCGGATCGTGCAAAAACCGAATCGGTGGCAAATACTGGGAATCGTGTCAAAAACCGGAATTCCGTGCAAAACGAATCTGCAATCGGGTTATCGTCAAGAACCGTCTCTACCGGAATCGTGGCAAATACCTGGAATTCGGTGCAAAATACCGAATCGTGTGCAAAGAACCGAATCGTGCATACGGAATCGTGCAACCTACTCGTGCAAATCTTGAAATACGCTCGTGCAAAAACCAATCGTCAATGGCCCGTATGCACAAAACCTGAATCGTGCAAAGAACCTGAGAATCGTGCATAAGATAAACCTGAGAATCGTTGGCAAAAACCTGATACTCGCTCGCAACAAACGCTCGCACACATCGTGCAAAAACTCTGAGTGTCGTGTCAAAAACCTGAATCCGTTGCTGTAAAACCGGTGAATCGTGCAAAGTACTGGAATCGTGCTCAAAAACATGCTTGAATCGTTGTCAAAACCTCGTAATCCGGTGCAAAAACCGGAATTCGTGCAAAAACCGGAAATCGTGGCAAAAGCCTGTGAACGCTTGCACAAACTTCCTTCGTGCATCCGTTCCCATCATTTTCCGTACACATACCTATATGCATGCACCACAGAACCACACTTCAGGTGTTCAATTGTGAGCTTAGATCTTGTCTCCTTTTGGAACCATAGAGGGAGAAATATGTGGACAGTGCCAAATATCACATTGTTACGGAGGAGAAACAATACTTCTAGGTTGTACTATGCAGTACACTTACGTGACTCATCACTGCCTTGGTTGACATACCTAAATTACAAAATACTCATTCTCACTTCCTCACTGAATTGCTTGGTTAACTCATTAACTCCCTGGGTAACTGACTCCCTCGTTCGCCTATTCAGTTCTTGACTTGCTGGTTTGCCGATTCTGTCACTCGCTCACCCATCACTCACTTGCTCGCTCTCGTCCATCTGCTCTGTATCTCGCTCGCTCGTTCTCACCCACCCATCCCTTTACAGTGTATTAATAGAAGAATACATGTTAATTAACATAAATAAATAAATAAATACATACTATCAGTAAATAATGAAGCAAGAGTAGCATTTGGAACAACAAAAAAATCAAGAATTTGCATGAAAAAAGAAAAATAAATCAGTTTCTCATCTCAAACTCATTTTAGAATTTGCATGTTCAAACTTCCTTAATTTTAAACCAAACTAAATGTTGATTTTGTTAATATTTGTTTTGCAGTGTGTACACAATTATTGGTGTCGAATCGTGCTGAGGAAGAGGCTGCACGCCTCTTCATGCGCTTGCTGGAACGAGCACTGCAGCACGAGGCCTTTACGGCACAGCAGAAGCGCCGCCTCACCACATGGAAGTTGCAAGTGCAAGATGTGTGGAGCCCTCTGACAGCAGTGATGGCTGCGAGTTTAGGACCATCGTGCACTGGACCGGGGATGGGCCATCGCGGGGGAGATCAGCGACATAGTAGGCACAGGTAGGACATTGTCTGGGAAGTGGCATCTTTTTCAAGAAGGGGCGTGATAAATTGCATGTATGGCAAGGGGTAACAGATGTCAGAATTCCATTCCTTGAGTTGCTTTTAATTTTTAAGAAAATGTATTCGTTCGTTTACTACCATTCTTGTGATATGTTTTGTGACAGACATGCAATCAAAAATGTTTATAACAGATTTTTTTACAGTAGTAGCAAATAGACATTTTGAATTTTTCTGTACTCCCTGGATTGCAACAGTATTGCTCTCCAGTGGTTGCATACTCTCTAAATCAGCCCTAAACCCCAATGAATTGAGCTGTAGGTGAGGTTTATACTATGTTATGGTAATTGTCTTTCAAGTTAGTAAATTTGTCAGTTGTAATATGTGTTCCCCTATCATAACGGCCAAGTACCACGAGAACTTTGATTCCATCTCAAAAGATGTAGGCCTACTGCCTTGTAGGAAGGTTATTGCACGTATTGCCTGAAAATTAAGCTTTTATATTAATTCACAAAAATTTTATGTAGTTAATTATATTTACTTTAAAATTGCCATGGTCGTAATGTGGAGAGATCATGGAATACAATATAGAATGGAGCATTTTGATAGTGTATGGGTAAAGAAAATTAAGTCATTTCTGTGATGACTTAAATCTCTTCATTCTTCTGTTTTATGATGTTTCGGGAGTGACACAACAACATACAATCTATACAACAAATATAGTATTAAAATGTAGTAAATTTAATGTTTTAATTCTGTGCTTTATAACATCACAAACTTTTATTTCTGTTTTTCTAAAAACTCACTTTTATAATTTCACTCCCTCTCTCTGAACTGCATTGACTTGTTTCCAGAGTCTATTTAAAGATGAAAACAAAGTACTGTATTTTTCTAGGTGGCATAGTCACAGCCAGTTTGGAAGCCCATCGCTGCCTCATCACCCACATCACCATCACCACAATGGTTTCCCTCACCATCTCCCTCTCCACCGACCACAGCAACCACAACCTTCTCAGCAATCCCCCTCGGCGATGAATCGTTTCCCACCTCCACCACCTCCCATGCCAGGGTCGTCGTCATGCGCATCTCGTGCCCTTCTCAACAAGACTGCATCCCCGCTGCCCGCCTTCTCTGGCGGGGGCCTTTTTCCTCCGTCACCCACTGGTGGGCCTTCAGGCTCCCAACCACCAATCGGCTCTCAGCACAGAAACAGCCTGACTGTACTGGGTGCTGGCGCTGGTCAGACAGGTCAGTTTTTGGCGAAGAGGCCATCACTGCAGGACCCTCTGCCAGAGGTGAGACAAGCATACATTTATTTATTTGGCTACATACATGCTCTTCCCATTAAGTCTTCCAGAATTGCTCGGAAGACTTAATCTTCTTGACACTTTTTATTTACTTGTATTTTACACCAGTCAACCATCAAACGTCACTGTTGTTCTATATACAATATAAAAAAACATGTGTCAATGTTTTTCCCAAGCCAATATAAACTTTCTGAAAAATGTTTTCCTTCACTAAACCTAGTAAGAGTTCACATCCAGTTATCATCATCGTCCATACAGGTCCAGTTAACAATTATTTGCAATTGTATAATTGTAAATTTGATTAGCAGATGGAATTATAAACAATATTCCTCAGTTATTCTTGTTGTACATAATGAAAGTTTTCACAGTATTTCCAAAACAATAGCAACCAATCCCAAAGTGGTTAATATCAACCCCTGGACCCAATTTGAAATTTTTAAGGACTGGATAGTTTCACTGCAATCATGTTTGGGATCAGCAATAGGGAAAAGTAGCCCCTCTTCAATCCACAAAAAAATTATTGTTCTTATTTCTGCAATTATAATCAGAAAAACCATATTATTACATATTTATAAACTTCCAAATTTTTTAATTTAGTTTCAATTTGTTTTATTATGATCTTTTCATTTTGTTTTTCTTTTCAATGAAGTAATTTTAACTTCTGTACCAATTTCAATTTGTATTTTTATTACACATTTTCGATTTGTATTTTATTGCATTGCAAAATCTGCCATTTTCCATACTACTTTTGATTTTAGTTGTTTATTACAAAAGTTAATAGGAATAATTTTTGGTATCTGAACAAATATTTCAATTGAATACTGCCAAAGTTTATTAGTTTAGTACGTAAACTTAATTTCTGTGAGGTGTCGATGGTTTTAATCATGTTTACAGAAAGATCTCCAACCAAAACAATTTTAAAAATTCTTATCTATACAAATAATTTCATGTGTTATCAATTTATGCAAAAATAGGTAGACCTTGCGTAGACAACGGCTTATGTACCCTTTCCAATATGATTTGGTTATTTGGAGATTCTCTGAATATCCTAATCATCAAAAGCATTTTGATGATGTTGCAGCCGATGGACAGCCATTCAACTCTTCAGCGAACACGTTCAGCACCTCTGAAACCCAGCCATTTCTGTGGCTTGGGGTTCAGCTCATCCCCAAGTCCAAGCACCTCAACGTCCACAAGTTCACGGACCCCCTCCACAGACGCAAGCGGAGCGAATGATCCAGAGATCAACTCTCGCTTGGAATCGCTCTGTTTAAGTATGACTGAACATGCATTGGGCGGATTCAATGAGGTATGAGCTACCTTGCTATTCTGCCTCTCCGCTCAAGTCTTGTCTTCGTGAATTTTCTCAGTCCCTTCATGATTTCAACCAACATGTGGAGGCTGAAAAATACAGGTTTTATTGACGATTTTAAGACGCTCCATCATGGATCAGCATGAATTAGGGCGTCTGTAAAAGACTAGATCCACTTACGTTCATTGCCTTATGGCTGAACTTTTCCTATGCTTTTAAAATAATTATTTTTTAAATGTATTCTAGTTCATGTGCAAGATTTTACCTCGAGTTAGTGGAAAGAGGCAACATGTTTTGTTGAGGTTTTTCTTCCTTAGTATATTGAACTCGTAGATAACTCAAGAATGAGTTACATATTTTTCTGGCTTTGTTTTGTTGTTGTTTCTTTTCTTTCTTTCTATTTTTATTTGAGAAAATTTCTGGTGAGATTCAAGTCCTTATGTTCTATGCATTTGCAACGGTATTCCAGGACTTGATGATTTGCACTAATTTCAGGACAAGAAGTTTTGGGTGCCATTTAATCAGAACACATTATGTGAATTAAGTGTATTTATGCTTTGATTGAGTGAGACAGAGCTAATTCTCTACCCCTTTTTCTTGTTTGTTGCATTTTCAACTTTTTAGAGTACTTAAAAAGTACTATTATGATTTATTTGAGTAATTCTAAATTTTTATGACTATGGCCCTCTATGAGTAGGTGCTAACTTGTAACAACAGATAACGAAGATTGTTCTGTTTGACACTCTTTATCTACATAAGACTGCCACTTTCTGGAGACAGACTGTTGAATAACTGGCAGGCCAGTTATAGGATGAGCTATTTTGTGCATACTCTGCTCCGTACCAGTACAAAGTCCCCCCCCCCCTTTCTTTCTGGGAATCGGAGGGCTAGAATCTCGATTTATTTTATTTGCAATTTACAGACTTGAAGTAGAAGTCTTCTATGATGAGTCATATGATTGTTCTTGGGTGTGCAGGCAATGCTATATCATAGTCTGGTTTCCCCAACCTTTTGGCCATCTAATGGCCTTCTTAAGAGCTGAAATAACATTTCCTACAGACACATTTCTACCCTGAAGCTGGCCACAAATGAGATATCCAAAATTGGCAAGCCTTCCTGGTCAGCTGAGAATAATCATTTAACAAACCTTCCCACATTTGTGGATTAGAGAGTATTGTTTAGCTTGAGGCTGTTTTAAAGGAGGTACAGGAAAGTTGTAGATCATATCCTGCAGAACCTTTGTTATTTGTAAGAGAAAATATTTGTTTTTCAGAAAACAATTCTATTAATTAATTTTTTGATGCTGGTACATCAGAGATTCAAGAATATGCATGATTCATTATGTTAAAAAAAGTTACCATTCGTTGTTTCTCATTGAATATGCAAGACGAACAACTTGTTATACATTCATATGTTTCATGTCTTCACCCTCTCCAAAAGACTATAATAAATCAGATCAAATGTTTATTTTTATTTTTAATGTTTGGGAAGTATATGATGATAAGTGGTGATGGAGCAGTTTGTGTTCCATCTTTAATATCTCATCCACAGCACAGTTAGATGCCGATGCTATAGACGCATTTATACAGAAGGGCTATTTTATGATTGTGTCTGGGTCACACAATTGTGAGTAACTAAGAAAGTTGTTTCAAAAATTTGCTGAAGAGACAAAATTCAGTGTTCTGCTTGTCGAAAGCACTTCTCTGCCCTGGATGCCTCCACCGCTACCCCACTCCACTCCAAACACACACGTGCACTCGCACTTTTTTCCTTCTTTTTCTTTCTTTCTTTCTTTCTTTCTTTCTTTCTTTTAAATGTATTTTTGCTTTTTGTATGACACATTTGATAAGAAAGCCTTCCTGTACAATAATTGCGAACTAAATTAACGGTAAAGTTGTTCTGGTATGCACTGTTTGTATTTATGTGTAGAAGTGGATGGATTGTAGTCTTTTGCTCACATATCTATAGTGCCTGTATCTGTTGGCATTCTTTTGTCAGTCTTTTTTACTTCTTATTCAATCTTCCTCACTAGAAGGCTAGAGAAAAGCAATAGGTTGTTTAGAAATGCACCTTTTTGCTACGTCTCATTTTCTCTCTACTCTCCCCTCTCGGATTGAAGTGCATTCTATATACCTCTGAATGGATCAAAAAATGATTGTTAAGTTTTTGCCATACATCTTCCAGTGCATTTTGCATTTTAATCTTAGCTATGTAGACACACGTTTTATTCTTCAAACAGGCCTAAAATATTCTGTAAGACCTTGTCGTTTAATCCCAGTGTGAAGGATAGGTTGAAGGAATTGGTTTTTCCCTTCTCCTTTTTTTTTTTAATAATAATTATTATTATTATTATTATTAAAATTATTATAATGTTCCTCCACTTAAATGTTTAGCTGCACAAAAATTGTTTGCTTCTCCATGAAGTATTACCCGAGATCTCTTTGTGTGCAGTTGAGGAAATCGTTTTTGTTTGGGTTTTTTTCTCCTTTTATTATATTATTTTCTAATTATCAATAAACTAAAACTATTACGTAGTTACAAAGTCAATACGAAGACTGGGAAACATCAACTTTGCAGCTGGCTGCTATGTAAGCTGAGTTGATAATGTTTCGAACTTCTTGCTTATATTAATAAAAGCAGAACGTTCATGGTAGTAAATTATAGAGTGCTACAAGGAACAGGTTTCTTTGAAATATGAGTAATTTTGTATGTAATGACAGTATCTTAATAATTAGAAAATTGTTCTTGGTGTAGTTCAACCTGTCACTTGAAATGTTATTCGGAGGCAGGGTGGACTTTGTATTGACAGTAGTAGTAGTAGATGAATGTTATCCATGGAATTTCTGGAAAACAGTGTTGTTTGGGTCTCATCTTTTTCACTTTTTTATTGTAGATTTGTTTGAAAGATGATAGCTTTGTGAGAGAAGCTCACAGATCTTTAAAACAGGATCTGGTATATAATTCTAGTCTTCAAGAATTTATTTTAAGGTTAACTAGTTGCCAATAAATTGCTAATTAATTTTGGCTGGCAAAAATACTTTTAAAATATGATATTACATCACAAAATGATAAATTTAGGTCTATCCAAATCCATAAATCCATGTTGAGGTTATTTGCAAAGATTAATTGAAGTTTCCTGTTGCTTTTTAGGGAAAGTTACAGTGGTGAAGTTTGTTTCGCTTAATAATGTGTGAGTGAATAATGAAATTCCATGGTTAGCATGGAACAGGTGTTTGGTAAATTTTGTGATATATGGTGTTTTTTGTGTGATACCGCTTTAAAAAAGGCTAAAGACTGAAAGTTCTTTTTTTTTTTTTCTTTTTTTACTTCTTTCATTTCTTTGTATATTAATAAATAGCATTTAAGGGGGAAATTAATGGAAAGAAGCATAGTAAAGATAAATATATATTGACTGAAAGTTAAAACTTGTCAAATTCTACTATGTTATAAATTTTATATTTGCATTATTGTTTTTAAGTACAAACAGTAATTTACATTTCACACTGCAGTTAGAGGGTAATAGTGGTATATTTTGAAAAGGACGTTAAAGTCGGCAGAACTGAAAGTATAAGAGTGGAAACTAGTTATTTAAACATGTGGCAGCTGTATCAAAAGTTAAGAATTAAATTTCTTTCTTATATTTAATGTATGTTTGAAAATGATTGTAGCAGTACCATCATAAAAGGATGGTGGAAAGTTGTGGTATATTTATTGTAAATGTAAGAAGTTTGACTTCTGTGCTATGCAGATTTTGGGAGGTTAATTAATATAATTGTTCTTTAAAGTGACACGATTGAAAGTGACATTATATACAAAATATTTCGCATAAGTGCACAAAAATTCAGTTGTTTTCATTGCAATACATCTTCACTAGAATTCTTGTAAATTTCCTCTCTCATAAAAATCAATTTCTGTAAATTAAAATAACTACACTAGAAATATGGTCTAATGATGTAGGTTTATGGCTTAATGCTTCACTTCAATCGTTACCATTTGGAGATTACTGGTGATCAAAAACAAAATAATTTTCTTTACTTCCAAGCTCTTGGTAATGCTTACAAACAAATGCACAAATGATCTTCAAGAAGGCATAGGAATTTCCATTTTCTGAAATGAGTATCTACAGTACTAAAACAGCATTTCATGTATTGTTACACATTTTGCGTAGTCATTCAGCTAATTAATCGAACAATATTTATTTGTCTGTTCTGAAATTTTCTGGATTTTTTCATGTTGTTGTTGGAACAGTTTTAAATTGACTTGAAATTCTGATAATGATTATTAATTACGTGAAGTAAAATAAAATGCACTCAAATGATACGTTACAAAAATTTCATTTGTTTTGTTGACAAATTAGAAGCGGACTTCAAAAAAAAAAATTAAACTGAAAATTAAAGTAGTGCTATCTTGCCATTATCATTACAAAGTTTGTTTGAATCATTAAGTGTGTACAAAATTTAATGTTTTGAAAGAAAAGTGAAAATTGGGAAACTCATGAAATCAACTATTAATAAAAAGCAGACCTTGTGAAAACATTTAAATTTACATTTATGGTTCATACAATTAAACTAAATGTTACTATCTAATGTTTTAATAGTGATTTATTGAACTCTCTACTGGTGTTAGGATTTTGAGTGTTACTGCAGATAATTTTTGAGACTGAACTCCAAATGGTATAAAAACAATCAGAATGTTGTAATTTAAGTCAAAGCAAATTAATTATTGCTATATAAATGATAATGGAATGAGTATGCTTTATAATATGTTAGTATTTGAAAGTGAAAAAAACCTTTGATATCTGGTTTTACTTACATCTGGTAAGTAAGACTGTGAAGAAAATATCTACTCCCAAAATTTGAATTTGTTTTTTATTAATTTGTATGATAAATAATTGATTCTTTACTTTCATACTTATCATTTCATTTATTTTTATTTTTGTTTTATTATTATTATTATTATTATTATTATTATTATTATTATTATTATTATTATTACTATTCTTATTACTATTATTATTACTATTTCATGTAAAGTTTAGCAGTTGTTAAAGCTACTTACCTCTTTCTGAAGGTGTGAGTGTATGAAATTGAAACTTTTATTTCATCTTACACATGAAATCACCTAATTTTCTAGCAAGCAGTTTTGTTTATGTATTCTGTGGATTTTTTTTACTATCATATGGGTCAGACAGGATGGTCTAGCCAAAAAAAAGTTTGGTTTTGATATTTTGAACTTTTTGTTACGTGTGTCCTGTGTATTCATATTTAATGATAAAAGTGTACTGGCTTGCTTATTAAAGGTATTCCACAAGTTGTAATGATGTATTATGATGAAGTGTCATATGTTTTTTTCTGTGGTTCTTGTCTGATGTACAAGGGAAACTCAAACTGCCTGTAATTTAAAGGAATAAAAATATTTTTCAGTGTCATTTCAGTGTGATAAAAATGCTACATATGGTTGACTACTCAGTAAAACATTTATATTTTTATGGTCATAAGACACTAGGTTGCAATTGCAACGTTTTCAAGTGTTCATAAATACTTCAGAAGTTTCTCAGACATATTATAAAATAAAAGAACATTTTCCATTGACATCTTTTAGATATCTTGTTGCCTAGGTGTCTTAAAGTCAAATCTTTTGCTAGATCATTATACTTTTATCATTAAAAGAAACATTATGGCCATATTGGATTTAGTTTATTTGCTAATGTTAAAAAAATGTTTTTATGCTCAAGTAAAAAAGAAGTATGTAGCATTTACTTGATGTTTTATTAAATTTATATATATGAATCAAATACTTGTCTATCAGTTTTCATATAGTCTATACATATTCATGTACTTGTATGTTGTAAAGGAGGCTGCTTTTATTTTAGTTCTACTATTTGTCTCATCATCATTTATGTGAAGAGATGTTATGGTTCAGTTTGGAAGGTGTCTGTTTTAAGATTCTAAGGACAATCAGGAGCAGAAATATCAGAAACAGTAAATTATTTTTTTTAATATGTTAGAGAAATTAAGCTTTCATATTTGTATTTGTGCATCTGGTCCCAAGTTTTGCAAATTTTCAATTATGTCTTTTTGCCTTCCAGCACCTGAGTGCTTGCTTTAGTGTTGATTATGTTCTGTATAAAATTTTGTTTGAGGTTCAGTGCTGGTTTTCAAAAATTTAGGTAATAAACAAATGTGGAACTATTTTCATAAGGTTTTAATAATTGCATGATGTAATTACTACCATCCTCCCAGAACTAGTAAAGTGAACTTGTGACATTGCACTCTGGTTACACTTTTTACAAATATCCCTTAAATTTCTTCTTATTATCCCTTAAATCTTTCATTAATGGTTGCAAACTTCACACGCTGCCTTGAAAATAGACCTCCATAACACATAATCTGAGTCGTGTAATCCTAAAGTTTTGTACCATCTTGTGATATTTTTGTAAAGAGCGCTATTAATGTCATATAATTTAAGAAATTATTGTGAATTTGTTGCTGTTTCTCATTTATGAAATGGTAATCTAATTACTGCTCAATAATTGAATCAACAATCCAGGTACATGTAAAAAGTAAAAATCTTTGTGATGAAATTAATAAATTTTGATCAGGTAGTTAAGCAGAGGTGATTTTATGTTTGAACTGTGTCAGAAAACTGTTAAAAGAGCTGCAAGTTTGTTTTTAAAACAGCGTGTATACACATATACAAGAGAATTAATTTTAAAGAATTTTGAATATTCCACTGAGTCACAAATTTAAGATAAGTAAATGTAATTTGTGAAGCAAGTGTAATATTGTGAAAATATTTTTCAATATCTTTTTTAATTGTTTACAAAAATGTTTAAGAAATAGTTACCTACATAACAGTTTCAAATGCACATTATCTTGAAACAAATATTTTCAGACCTTGCATGAAAAAGCAAACTTCTATTAAATGAGACTTTGAGCAATATAAAATAGTTCAAATGTTCAATCACCGTAATTATATTAGAAATTTTTAAACCTTTCTGCAGCTCTTGCATTTAAAATTATATATATCTCGTGAACCTATTTCAGATTGAATAAAATTTCCTCCTTTCATGGCACTGCTCATAACATTGAACTAGAGTAATGATCGACACCATGGTGGTCCATAGAATTTAAAACATCAGAATTTTGTTGTATTTATTTGCACTTTCAAATCCATACAAAGGAGGAGCACACTGTATGAAGAATTTTAAAAAAGGCTCTTGTTTTGGAAAAGGGTAACTTCTGAAGCTAGACGATACTTAATTTTATCTGTGCTTCCTACAAATTGAATTGGTGCTCAGGCTCATCATTGTATATTTTTATGAATCTCATGAAAACTTCTAAAAGACTGGGTCGATCCTATCATTGAGTCAACTAACTAGGGGCCTCTTGGTGGGAAAAATCATGGCTGGGAGTTTTCAACAATTGCTGTTAAAAGTGTGTACAAGAAATTGATTCACATGAAATATAATTTAAATGTGAGGAATGACACCGCAGTGTTTTTGTTTAAACAAGTTGATTGGAAGGAATAGTCAAAATAGTTTTTTTGAATCAAATGTTTGGATGTAAATTCCTTGCCATGCTTAGAGCACACAATTTGCTGGTCGGTTTTCTTAATGATCTATTTTGTGATTTTGTTGCCTTGTTATAAAAAAGGTGATTGTGTAGGTTTTCCTTAAACATTCTAAATATAAAGTAAAGTATTCTGATTCTCACATATCAAAATGAAAGATCATTTTTTATCATCTTTCTTAAACTAAAATGACAATAGCATTTTGGACATTTGCTTAATGCACATTTGTTTAATTTTTAATAAAAACAAACTATTACAATTTGTTTAATTTGAAAAGTTCTGTTTATAACTAGAACATGATTTTTCAAAACTTGTGGACCTCATTGCATATTTTTAAACCCAATGGTTTATATCTGGAAATTACAAA